TTTTTTTTTTTTATTACTGACTAAAAACCAATGAATAATTATAAAGCTGAAAAAGAACAACAAATGATTATTTATAACGTCAATAATTTTATCATTTAATGACAGCAAATATGTCAGTCAAATAAGTAACCGAATACAGTGCTGTACAATGTCGAATTTGCAAATTTGCTCCAGATTTAATTAGTTCTTTTGAATTACTATATTGTTCATTTTATGTTTATATTTGAAGAAGTTTTGTTCTGTTTTTTTTTTCTAGTTAATGGCTGAACTGTGTTACTGTTCTAAATTTTTCCTTTTTTGGTAAAAATCTAACAGATTATAGGCTATAGTTGTGCATTCAGTGATTGTATTAATAAGTCGATGGCGACAGTTCTTAGTTATGTTTTATCAGCATTTAGCAATTGATTTATATCAAATTATGCCTAAATTTTATTTGCAAGTATTATCAGTAAACTAGCCAAATCTAACTGCTTTTCTTTTTTCTAAAAAAAAACCATAAATTTAATGATTTTAATGTTTCAACAGTACCTTAAAAAGTACATAGAATGCAAAAAACATATCTCTTCAACCGTATTTATAAGTTTTTCAGTAAAGCAGTAAAAAAAAACTTTTTATTTTTTTTTTATTTTGTAATGTCGATTATGAAAAATTTTGTTTACATTTTTCAATTGCAGTTATAATTGTTGCTAAAACTAACTTTAACCTAAGTTTCTTCTTCTACAGATTTGTAGACTGAGGTTTTTTCCAGTTTGCTTCACAAATGAGGATCTTTTTTTGCACTGCTATAATTCAGCAATTAAACAATAGCTTTTTGGAGATTATTATTATTATATTTCTTAGGTTTATACAAATAACTATTGTTATTTATCAGTCGCATAAAATTTCAATTTTAATCAAATAAGAGCTATAAATTTGAAAACTTTTGTTGTTCTTCCTTTTTTTTTTTACAGGATTCTCCTTATCTGCCATGGGTAAACAGAAGCATGATGAAAAAAAGGCTATTGAAGATGTAGAGTATCAGCAACCAGAACCAATTTACATCAACGAAAAACCAGGCTTCGAGCAGGATAGTAGTCAGAACGATGTTTACAGCCTTGAAGATGATTCAATTACAAAATATAAATACTTTGGACCTCTTCTAGCGGTTTCTTTGGTCATCACTGGTTCCTTGAATACAATTGTAGCAAAGTAATGTTTTGTGTTTAGGTTGACAATATTTTAGAAGCATTTTGAAAGAAAAAAAAAACATAAATTAATCTAAATTTAAGAAATTTTATTTTTAAAAACCACATTTTTCTAAACCTTCCTTTCTTTTTTCTTCTATTTTTCACTAAACCGCTTCAAATAAAGTTGTAATTGAAACTATTTTAGATGGACAGATACAATTAAAATTGAACGAAAATATTTCAACCATCCATTTTTCCAGGTGATATCACAGTGTCACTTACATCGTTAATTTTAAAAGATTACAAGATTTTTTAAGTTTTTTGGTAAAAATTTAAAAGAAAAAAGCGAGTTTACAAAGCATTTCGTTTCTGTTGTACAGACAGTACAATTTCACGGAAACAGTAGATAAATTTAATTCAAATTTAATAATGAACTTTTAAAGTTTAGTATTTTTTTATTTACTGTTTAAAAATAAAAATGTGGGATTGTATTGTCTGATCAAATGCTCAAAGGTTTCTTTTCTGAAAAGCAAGTTTAATTATTAAACTTTATAAAAAAACCTGTAATTAAACTGGAAAAGTAAGTGAGCAAAACTGAATAAAAGTTAACTAAATGTTAAAATTTTTTTGAACAAAATTTAAGCAACTTTTTTATTGCTATTTAATTGCAAAAATTTTTCAGGTTTAAGAAAGAATTTGTGAAAGATTAGATTTATATGAAAACATAATTTTCTTTTTTCGTTTGATTAATTAGGCATTGATTGCAGGGTGCAGTAATGTTTCTTGGAGAATTTATGTGCTTTTTCGTCTATTTGATTGTATTGCTGATCCAACGAATAAGGTGGAAAAATAATCAAAAATATGTGGAAGGCGGATTTTCAAGTGTTAAAAAACCATCATTTCCACGGATTAATCCAATTTATTTTGCTGTACCAGCTATATGTGACTGCATCAATACATCGCTTCAATACATTGGTCTGAATATGACAAGTGCATCGTCATATCAAATGCTCAGAGGTTGTGTCATAAAAAAAAAAAAAGTCTAAAAACAATTTAAATAGTTATTGAATATGCTTTTCTTTTTTTGTTCTCGCAATAAACTGTTTAATAACCTGCTAAATTTTATAGGATCTTCTATTATTTTTACTGGAATTCTTGCGATATTGATACTGAAAAACAAGCTGCAATGTTTTCGATGGACTGGTATGATTTTGGTCACTGTTGGCTTAGTTGTTATTGGCGTATGTGATATGATTTGGGCAAATGATGCAGAGCACAGTTCAACTGACATTGTAGTCGGTAATTTCTAATTATTGCTTAGTAAGTGCCAAAAAATTTTTTAGTGCCATGTCTTATTTTTATAGAAAAAAAATTGTAAAAAATAGAAATGAATAAATGGTACTGTTTTGCTGCCAATTTTCTAAATATAAATTTGTTTTTTTTTTGTTTAAGTAAAATATGAATAATTTTAAATTTTGATATATGACAGAGTTGGACAAATGACAGAGTTGGACAAACAATATATTTTGTTTTTTTCTTTTGCTTTAGTTGCTTAAAACTGAACTCTTACCGGTAGATGGTTTATTTGCAGGAGATTTACTGATTGTCGCTGGTGAAGTTGTTCACGCATTTCAAGTAATTATTGAACAGAAACTTTTGAACAGTGAAGACAAGACAAAAGATGTACCAGCTTTATTAGCTGTCGGCTTAGAAGGTGCATTGGTTTTACTTGATCAAAATACTAGGCTAAAATTTAGAGAACGAAAAACTGAATAAGCAGTTGCCAAACTAGTTTTTGAGCGTTTAAATTTTTGCAGGATTTTTTGGTCTTCTAATTTTAATAATCGCCATGATACCGCTGTACTTTATCCATGTTAGTTCAATGTTTTCGGCAAATCCAGAAAACAGACTTGAAGATGCCATTAATGCTTTTTGGATGATGAGTAAAAGCTCCGAAGTAACGTGGTCATTGGTCTGCAACGTACTTAGGTAAATTTGCAACATATGTATCCCAATTATTAACTTTCTCGTCTAAATTACATTTAGTTCATAAAATTTACTAACAAACTTTTTTTTTTTTTTGCTTTATTACAGTATCGCATTTTTCAACTTTGCCGGGTTATCGGTAACAAAGTTTATGTCGGCAACAACACGTATGGTTTTGGATAGCATTCGAACAATTGTCATTTGGGCTGTCTCAATTCCACTATTTCATCAAGCATTCATTCCATTACAGGTTTAGTTTCCTTTATGCAAAAAAATATAGCTTTTTAACTAGAATTATAACAAAAAAAAAAAGCAGATAAAAGGTGAAAAAAAAAGCGTGACTTCTTTTCATTTGTTTACTGAAACTACATCAGAACAAAAGACCAAAGATGGTTTGAAGATACTCATAAATCAAACATTGTATAGATTACAAATTTAAACTGCTCAGTTGTCGTCATTATCAGATGACAAAACAGTTAACGCACTATTCATTTGACAGTACTGTTTTTATTTTTTTTTCTGAAAACAAAAAAATTTTTTCACCACAGGTGTAGACGATTAATTATTAATGTAATAAGTTTAAGAGCATAATTTAGTAGATTTTACAAGTGTAATTTAAAAAATTGAAAAGTCTGCATCGATGCAGACAATGTTTTTGCAGGTTAACGATAATTCATCATAATCAGTATCAGATGTAAAACATAGGAGTTAAAAATCTAACTGAAAAGATAATAATAAACTGAAAAAAAAAAAAAACTGGTCAAGAAGAAGCGGTAGAAGTAAATAACATCAGTCTTTTTTTGTCAAATTTGTTTTGTTTACTGAATTAATGATAGATTATGTTTTTAGTGTTTTTTGTTTTTCAACTTTTATTTCAAGCTGTTTGCTAAGTGAATCATTACTTTTAATAAAGTTTAAGTCGTCCTAAAAAAGATGACGAAAAAAAAAAA